AGAAGACATAGAAAAAGAAAGAGAAAGATTACGTGCTGAATTTGAACGTGAAGTATCTGAAATACGTCGACAATATGAAGCAGAACGTTTAACTAAAGAAGATATTCAACGAAAATATGAAGATTTAAAATTACAATATGATAGTGAACTTGATGCTTTAAATGCTAGTCGACCTAAAGATGAAAGTAAATAAATACAAAGAAAAAAAAACAAATATTTGATTTTGATAAATTAATTCTAAAAAGAAAAAAATACCTATTGTCTGATTAGATGTACAACCATCACCACCAGTTCCAAATGAACGTAGTAAAACAACAACAAAGAAGAAAGGTGGAATTGTTAAACAAAAACGTGGTGGAGAAGAAATAACAAATGGTCAAGATATTGTTGATGGAGATATTACATCAGGACCTATCGATGATATGGATCAACAACAAAAACTTGAACGTTTAAATGAATTAGAACATAAACTTGTTGGTGGAGAAGAAGCAAATAATGAAGAAAGAAAAAAGAAACGTAAAAAGAAATTAAATGAAATGCGTGAAAAATTAGAACAACGTAAACGTCTTAGTAAAGCAATCAATGCTGATGATGATGATACATTATTGAGAGTTTTTGATAATGCACAAGAGCAGGTTAGTTATCACAATCTTGAAAAGTATTTAAAATATATTTGTACCTAAACCTGATGAACCGTTGCATCAGTCTACGACAACTAAAACTCATCGGATTGGTCTAATGTTTAGATCCGAAAATTTTTGATTCTATGGAATTTAGTCATCAAGGAAATACGTAGGATGTACTAATGTCCGTGTCAAAATATAAGAGCCGTGGCCATTTTTTCAATAACTTTTGATAGGAACAAGTTAGAGTGGTGCAGTTTTCGCCATTAGAAAGAGAAGACTTAGCCACATCAGTCCATGCTAAAATATGATTGGTTAACAATGAACCAATCAGGTGCAATCTCGATGAAGATGTTGAGCATGCCTGTTTGGAGACATTTTTCAATTTAGTCCTATTCGTCAATTTATATGTTGATAGAAAAAATTGTTCTCTGTCGATCTACGAAAGGCCGACCTTTCTAGCTTGTTCCATTCAAGAGTTATAAGCGTTTTTCTGAGACCCCTGATTTCAGTCAATTGACCTTGGATCAAACAGAAAACCATCTAGGATGGGGTAATTCATCATGCTGAGTCGAATGGTGATACTTTCTTTTGGATTCAAAATCATCTTACGGTATTATCTCAATATTTCTGAAATGTGGGCTCATGTGATACAGCGGTAGATATTGAAATGTAGAAAATTCCTAAAACACAGTGGAAGATAGTTTTGAATCCAAAAGCAAGTATCACCATTCGACTCAGCATGATGAATTGCTCCATCCTAGATGATTTTCTGCTTGATCCAAGGTCAATTGGCTGAAATCAGGGGTCTCAGAAAAACGCTTATAACTCTTGAACAGAACAAGCTAGAAAGGTCGGCCTTTCGTAGATCGAAAGAGAACAATGTTTTCTATCAACATATAAATTGACGAATAGGACTAAATTGAAAAATGTCTCCAGACAGAAGTGCTCAACATCTTCATCGAGATTGCACCTGATTGGTCCATTGTTAATCAATCATATTTTAGCATGAATTGATGTGCCTAAGTCTTCTCTTTCTAATGGCGAAAACTGCACCACTCTAACTTGTTCCTATCAAAAGTTATCGAAAAAATGGTCACGGCTCTTATATTTTCAAACGGACATTAGTCATCGAATGCAAAAAGTATCTTGTGGGCCCTTGTACTGTTCGACAAGGTCCGAAAATTTTGAATCCGGCGGGCTTTAACAGTGACATCGGTAATCATCGTCACCATTGTACTCTTACTTATGATAATTTTCTGTCCTACAGAGCCGATGTCGCATGATCAGTTATCTCCCATTCGATTTCACTTTGCTATAAAATAACATAAATATTTTTCTAAAATACAAGTTCACTGAAAAAAATAATTCAAAAAAGATCTAAATGTCACGAAGTTCATTTTTCTTGTATAAATATTTACATTTTATTACTAAATTTTCTATTGATACTCTAAGAAATCGTTCATATCGAACTATATTACATTATGTTGAGGATGTGCCTTTTAGTGAAGTAAACAAATGTATACATATTTGATACAAATAAAGTTGTTAATGAGATTCGTTGATTGTACAACTAATATTTGCTTTGACACATAATTTCAGTTGAAAAACAATTATTCGAAATTTTAATTATCTTTATTAGAATAAATAAATAAATTAAAGTTTTAATCCATATTTCTTTTTTTTTGCATAGCTTCATTTTACTACGAAAAAATTAGAATATGAAATTACTGAAAATAAACGTTTAAAAAATGATAATGAAGATTTACAACATGAATTTCAACGTGAACGTGAAGGATATTTAAATACAATTCGTGAACAAGAAAAACGACTTCTTCTATATCGTACAATGATTGATAAAATGAGTAATATTATGCAACGTAGTTGTAACTATAGAAATGTTGATAGAATTATTGAACAAGCACGTTATGATGAAGATAAAAATCAATATATTTTACCTGAACCAACTATTGAAGAAATTCAATTACCTCAAATGGGAAATTTACCAACAACAACAACAACAACAAATGGACGTATACCACAAAGTGATTATATAATACCAACAAAATCAATATCTACACCACCAACAACTGAATATGAAGATGATTTTATTGAAGCAGCACCAGTTAACAATGGTTATAATAATCAATATTCAACGATGAATACAGAAGATCTTGAACGACGTTATGGACGTTATGATACAACAAATTTACCAACAGAAAAAACACGTATTAAACGTCAAGAACAATTATTAAATGAAAGTTCAATTTTACAACGAACAAAACGTCCATTACAAATGAATAATGATAATGATTATATGAATCGTCGTCTTAATCCATATGAAGCACCAGCTCGACTAAGTCGTAAATATGGTTTTTCATCGGATAAACAATAAAAATAAAATAAAAACAAAACACAAACACTCACACACACACCTAACCCGTGCATAAATATATATATATATATATATATATTCTTTCATCCGGTCAAAGATGATATTATTTTCTTTTATTTTTACTAGTCGTATGAGATTTTATCTATACTCAAAAACAACAACAACAACAAGAAAAACAAAACAAAAGACATATTGTTTTATGTATAGATAAATATACTTGGTGATATTGTATCGAGCTTTTTTCTTTTTGTCTTTAATGAAATTATTTTTTCAAATATTTCAGATCTTCTTTTTATTCTTAAAATTACAATAAACATGTGATGTTGTGTACACTATCAAAAAATTTACTTCTATGATAAGAAAGTCTTGATACAAAATATGTGTTCATTTTTCGATTAGCCAGTTAAATTTAGAAGTAATTAATTAAAATCTAAATCTTTCAATCTTGTTGAAATGTATTCAAAAGATCCCTTTAGGATAAGGTTGAACAAGTATTATCAGATTGTTTCAAAATACAATTTTTGGTCAATATTGTATTTTGTTTGGAACTTATCAAATTCTAAAATACGAAACAGTTTTTAATGGCTTTGTTTATTTTACAAACAGCGCTATTAACTTTTGCATAATAGATTTTTAAAAAAAAAACTTGCAATTTTTTCGCACCAACACTGATATCCATAGAAAATAGATCTTTATTGAAAATGCATGAACGAGTTTTTGCTTATTATAATATGCGTCATTTCAGGCAAGAACTTCTATAATATTTAATCATCTTTTAGTTGGTCTGATAATATAAGAACATCGATTAAAGCTATTTATCTCTGATTTAAATACAGGAGGCAAAATTTCGCTGATACTATGAATCGATATCTCTCTTGTAAGAATAGTACTACAAGTATAGGAAATTAATTTTCAGTTTTTCAAAATCAATCAGCAAAACGTTCCGATTGTTTTAAATTAAATTGACGAAATCATTTGAATTAAAAAAAGAGAGGGAATACATAGTTGTCGGAATCGTTTATTCGAACGATGTCATGAGTCACTGATCAGATGAGTAGACAGACTATATATTTTGAGCAACGGGTTCACAGTAAATTAAAGTGCATGAATATACCACTTATCTAACATAAAAACACTCACTTTTTGGAACGAAAAATTTTAAATTTTGCAAATAGTATCGATATCTTAACCTCGTTTTTAACTGTTTATTTCATATATAGTTTTACTGGTAAAGAAGAAATATGTGATAATTAATCAAGGTTTTTTTGTGCAATCAACAATATTAGTTTCCTATATTTATATTACTATTCTTACAAGAGAAGATACGATCCAATATTATATTGTTTGAAACGTTGATACAAGTATTCAAACCTCATATAAATACATTCAATTAAAAATTGTTCCCTTCGTGCATAAAGTAATTTTTGTCAAGATTCAGAACTTATTAAAAATCCTGTATATAAATAAGTTGAGAAGTCCTAGTGCCAAATAGGACTTCTAAACCTAATTTTTTTTAAAATAAGGTAGACATATTCTAGTCTGAATGGAATAATATTTTAGTGTACATGCATGTATTCATCCTGATATATTAAAAGTAGAACAAAAACAATTTTCGTATCTCTACTGCATTTTTTTCGTATTATATTACTTTGTACAGAAAGATATGTACAATCTAAAATCACAAGTTGTCAGATGGTTTCGTAACTTAACCTAGGGAAATTCTCTATGCCTGTTATGGCAAAAAGCAGTGTAGTACTTAGGAAAGCTATTACATTCGTAGAACCCTGTTTTCGTTATGTACGTCGTACCTACGTTCATTGTCCCATGGAACCGGTGTCGTCCGCTCTGTACGTACCTTTTTCAGGGTTGCAGAAGACCTTCTTGATTGCGCGTGTGTGTGCGCGATAATCAACCAAGAAAAGTCGGACAGAAAAGTGAATAGCAATCGAAAACAATTTATTGAATAAACAAGAGGAAAAAGGTTACAACTTCTTTCGAATTATTTCAAATGTTTCTTTATAGTTCAAAAGATGAGGATGATTTGAAGGCAATTTTTCTTGAGCGATTTCTATCGCTTGTTGGACATTTTTCATTGCCATACTATATTCTTCAGTAGCCAAATATAATTTCGCTAAACTATGATAGATTAAAGCTAAATCAGGATGATTTTTTGGTTGTTTCTTTTCACGAATTTCTAATCCTTTTTGAAAATACATCAATGCCATTGTATAATCATTCATTTCCCCATACGTTTCACCTAGATTTGTATATATCGTTGCACGTTCCAGAGGATTACACTGAACAGTTTCTTGAATATTTAATGCTTTTCGATGACATGAAAATGCCTTTTCATATTCTCCCATTAATCGATAAACATCACCAATATGACTATATGTTATAGCGAAATTCGGATGTCGATCAGGTAGCATTTTTTGATCTATTATGAGAGACTTCTTAAAATATTTGAGTGCTTTTCTGTACTGTTTCATACTGCAATAAACCTTACCGAGCCATTGATATGGAGAACCCAAATCAGGATGACTTGGAGGCGAAATATTTTTTGCTATTTTCAAATCTTTTTTGAAAAACTTAATTGCTTTCAAATAGTCACTCATGTGGTAATACACTGATCCAATCATGTTGTAGGAAGCTGCCAAATCGGGATGATTCGGAGGCAAAACTATTAGTTTTATTTTAAGTGATTTTTCGAAAAATTCAAGTGCTTTCGAGTAATGACCCATCCAATTGTACACTAGACCGATGTTGCTGTAGGATTCAGCCAAATCAGGATAATTTGCAGGTATAGCCTTTTCGAGGATGTGATTTGCTTTTTCGAAAAATTCTAGTACTTTCGAGTAGTCACCCATATCGTTATACACTAGACCGATATTCTTATAGGAAGTAGCCAAATCAGGATGATTCGGAGGCAAAGCTTTTTTTCTTATTTTACGTGATTTTTCCAGAAATTCAAGTGCTTTCGAGTGATGACCCATGTCATTATACACTAGACCCATGTTGTTATAGGATTGAGCCAAATCGAGATGAGTTGGAGGCAGAGCTTTTTCAAGTATCTTATGTGCTTTTATAAAAAACTCATTTGCTTTCGAGTAGTCACCCATGCTATCATACACTCCACCGATGAGGTTGTAGGTCAGAGCCATATCGGGATGATTGGGACGTAGAACTTTTTCTTTTATTTTATGTGCTTTTTCGTAGAATTCAATTGCTTTTGAGTAATCCCCCATGTTGTTATAAGCCAGACCGATGTTATTGCAAGAAATAACCAGATCGGTATGAGTTGGAGACAGAACCTTTTCTCTTATTTTATATACTTTTTCGAAAAACTCGAGTGCTTTCGAATAGTCACCCATGCTTTCGTAGACTGCACCGATGTTGTTGTAGGAAAGAGCCAAATCAGGATGATCCGAGGGCAGACGTTTTTCGAGTAGCTGATGTGCTTTTTCGTAGAATTCAAGTGCTTTCGAGTAGTTACCCATGTTGTCACAAGCTAGACCCATGTTATTGTAGGACGTAGCCAAATCAGGATGATCCGGAGTAAGAGCTTTTTTTCTTATTTCAAGCGATTTTTCAAGAAACTCAAGTGCTTTCGAGTAGTCACCCATGTCATTATACACTAGACCAATGTTACTGTAGGATTGAGCCAAATCAGGATGAGTTGGAGACAGAGCTTTTTCTCTTATTTTATATGCTTTTTCGAAAAAATGAAGTGCTTTCGAATAGTTACCCATGCTATCATACACTCCACCGATGTTGTTGTAGGAAATAGCCAAATCTGGATGATTTGAAGGCAGACTTTTTCCTTTTAGTTCATGCGCTTTTGCGTAAAATTCAAGTGCTTTCGAATAATCCTCCATGTTGTTATAGATCAGACCGATATTATTGTAAGAAGTAGCCAGATCAAGATGATTCGAAGGTAGAACTCTTTTTCTTAATTCAAGTGAGTTTTTGAGGAACTCAAGTGCTTTTGTGAAGTCACCCATTCCGTTGTATACTAGAGCAATATTATTGTTGGAACTGGCCAAATCTGGATGATCGGAGGGCAGAATTTTTTCGAGTATGTGATGTGCTTTTTCGAGAAACTCGAGTGCTTTGGAGTAGTCTCCCATGTCGTTATACACTAGACCGATCGTATTGTAGATATTAGCCAATGTTGGATGATCTTTCGGAAGAGTTTTTCGGTAAGTTTCGATAGCTATTTTGTAGAATGAAACTGCTGCATTGCATTGTCCTTGGTTCCATTTCAACAGGCCAAGATCGTTATAAATAGATGCTTTACTACTTTCGTTAGATGTTTTGTCTAATAGTGTGGCATAAAATTCTTCAGCCTTATTGAGTTGACCTAGTTTTAGCAGCAATCGACCTATTCTATACCATTCGGTACCGTCGACCTCTTCACGTATAATATCGGTAATTTGACGTAGTTGTTGGTCGTCATCTGTCGTAAGTTTAAGATCCACTTCGTGAAGGGTTTTTTTCTTATCAATTCTTCGAATTTCACCAATGCGAAAAACCGTGTGCATGGAGAAGAGAATTTCTTCCTCTTGTGCGAAATAACTCACGTCCTGGATAGAGGCAAATGGAGTCGATGAGACAGTAGGATCGATAGTCATTTGAAAAAGAATCCCAACCATATCAGTTTTTCCTAACGCATGTTTGGCGAAATCGAGGGAAATATTTCGATTTGTACTGGTGTATAAGAAATTATTGAAGGATATTAGTCCACCTTTGTTTTTCGAGAGTTTCTCGAAGTCTGCTGTCAATAATGCTCGTCCGAGATAAACTGTAAAAGCCTTTCCATGATATTGACTGATCTGTCTCTTGTGTAAACTTTCAATTTGTCGATGTAAATCACAAAGATAAAATCCCATTCTGATAATGATGTCACTATCAAGCGTTCGTATTGCACGATTAAGCATTTTATATATGAAACATTGGCGTGTATACCACCAAATAGCCCATGATGGGTTATAAATGCGTCGAAATTCATCAATAAGTTTTAGTTCTTGTGTATTGCCCTGGTATTGTTCTTGGCAAAACGTGATCAAATGATTGATGGCTTTTTGATCATGTTTCATATCAAGAAATATTTCCTTGACTATTTGGGAATACATGAAGGTTGGTTCTAACCGATTGAAGCTGTCTCTAGAACCTTCTTCATTGACACCAATAATACTGACCACTGTATTATTTTGATTGCATTGCTTAACAGCCACTTGCAATGCTTTGCATATAGATTGAATTGATTTATAAACGCCTTTCACTTTTGTCCAATTTCTAGCCCATTCTTTATCACGTTGCGTTTTTCGACAAAAGATGTATATAGTATCAAGTTTTGGCATTCCGTGAATATCTGGTACGAGATATTGCCCAAGTGAACCAGAGGAGATAACGAATGATGTCTCCCCCTTATTTTCATTGAGCCATGTCATGCATTCTTCCGCCGTGGTACAAATATGCACTTGATTGACAATACTGCGTAATTGTACGAGTGAATGTTGATAATCTTCATCTTGCATGTTAATATTTTCATCGACCCAGATGACTAAGTAGTTTTCAACTATACGTCGTCTTCGTTGTCCATTCATTTTGAGAGACTCTTGTCGTTTGCTCGATAATGGAGTTTGATACAATAATAAATTGCTGCTTGAACGCAGTTTACCTTTTCTATTTATATATGCGATGTTTGTTGTTTTCTTTTTCTAAATTACTCTACGACGTTAAATGTGCGTATTTTTTTCTTTGATACTCAATAACCAACTATACATGGTTTCAATTGAAAACATGTTTACCAAACATATATGAATGAGAAAAAAAAACCGAACAACGTGATTTATTTTAGTTATTTTTTCCGATTTTCATTGGTTACTCATGTGTATAGTAGCTTGTGTATCACTGCATATTAGATACCTTGCCACACACATTGTATATTTTTTCCTTGATTCTTTCAAAACGATTATCTTTTTCTCTCTATCAAGAACGAAAAAAAAAACAAGGACATCGTCTGTTTGTTTGTTTTTTTTCATTATTTATCTATTTGTCATGCTGATAATGCGAATGAAACAAGAAGAAAAGTAAATTCAATTTTAGTTGAGGTAATAATCGAAGCGGTTTTAATTTCCGAATATACTGCTGACCATTAACGAGTAATTGAACTGAAACAAATATTCTCATTATGCTTAATCCTGACTGATATGTAGCACGTCTCATGGTGATTGAAGTAATGATGACTGGCATAATTGGAGTTTGAAAATAATGAAAGGTCAAAGTACCTATCACCAATTGAAATATGAATGAACCATCTGAATGAGCGCTTTAAACATCTATATAGCAAGTCAAGCAAGCAAAAGTATTATTTCATAGTTGAAAATATGGACGTAAGTCGTATGATGCACTATTATACAGTTCGAATTTAAAATTCAAATCAATATTCAGAATAAAATTAAATCAAATTTTCTTTCATATGTCGATGACGTAAATTGTTAGTTGAATAAAAATTACTATTGATAAAAAATTTATAATATTTGATTTTTGATTGTTTGAGCTATATGTGAATACGAAGATTTCATTTATATTTGAGTTCTTATAAGAAAAGTACTTCTAAATTCACATTTCTTTCCTCATTAAAACCAATGTCATCATGAAGAAATAATACTCACACAATTTTAACATTCGTTCCCATGGCAACGAGAAAATTCATGCACTAAGGCAAATATGTAGCACTAGAACTATACATATTTTAAACTTATATCAATGGAAAATATAAACAAAACAATTGTGTTCCTCAAATAATAAACATTGCTCATAGCGTTGATTGCATAATTCTTATGAGTTTTTTTTTCGAAAAATTCAATTATAAAAAACAAGATAGATCAATAAAAAAAGTTGATTAATAACAAAACAACTAACAAGTAGAAAGTAATATTTATTATTGGTGTCGTTGGTTTTTTTTTGTCTATTGTTTGTGTCTGGATAGTAAAGAAAAATGTGACGTTAAGATATGTTAACAAAGGATTACTGAAGAAAAAAAAACGGAACATTGCATTTTTCTAACTGTACTTTCTTTTTTTATGTGATTATATCTAATGAAGAGTTTCTTGTAAATATCTATATTGTTCTATTGTGTTGATCAGTTCGAATCAATCAAATTACATTAAAAATCAATTCAACACTATTCATTGCATTACATTATATTCATTTCGTTTTTCTACATGGTTATTGAATCATAAGGAGCTAATGTTACGAAAATCTGTTAGTACTCTTGAGCTTAGATTTATTTTGTCCGACAAGAATATTTAAAAGTTTATCATAATGTAAGTCGAGTATTTTTAAGAAAAATTTCTTAGTTTTAATAATATTTACATTGAAAAATTGAAAAGAATGTTAGTATAGAATAGATTGCTAAGAAATGAGAGAAAAGTATTTTCAAAAGCTGAAAAATAATGATCTTAAATTAATTTATTTGATTTTATGATTTTTCGATCTATTAGAAATGATCGTTCTTGACTTTTATGAACTACGAAAAATCTAATCAAATTAGTATTTTGAATAAAATTGATTATTTTCAATGTCAATTATATTCTTTTATTCATCTATGAAATGTAAAAAATTTTAAATCTTCCAGAATGTTTTCACCGGCTACTTCTCATTACCATTCATTGACGAAATAAATTTACTCTCTAATAAAATTATTTTTAACACTCAATTGAGATCAAAGCTGTAAAGTTCGATGGCAACTGAAACTTGTTCTCGAATGTAATCGATGAGACCATTGAGTCTATGGTTATTTGAAAAAGGAAACTGGTCATATCAGATGTTACTAAAGCATTTTTGGCGAAACCGAGCGAAACATGTTGATTCCTACTAGTGAATAAAAAATTATTGGATTATATAATTCACAGCTTTATTTTTGGCAAATTTTTCTAAGTCTGCTTTCGATAACTCTTGTCTCCGAAAGACTCTAAGGGTCTTCTCATATATATATAAATAGCACAAGTTTAGTCGTTGATAATACACATCAAAATTTAATATAGAGATCAGTGGTGGCTCGACTGGAGGGCGTCTTGGGGTGTAATAGCCTTTCAATCATGAAAAAGTTTTTTGTTGTTTTCTAATGAAATTAAAATTTTTTACTGTTCTGTTAGAAAAAATAAAGTTCACGCTTCTCCAAATCAAAAATTGGGACACGGGAAATTTTGAATAGCCGATCGTTAAATGTTATTCAAGCATGTATGAAAAAAAAATCTCAGAAAATATATAAACAGTTATGATACGTGTTCATCAGTTCGATGAATCAGTGATTGCTACTCCCTCGTGAATAGAAACGACAGAAATAATTTTTATAAAGTCTTATTTATAAATACTTGCACAGAATAATTTAAATTTTAAATTTGAGAGATTCATCAAATAACCATAGTTTCGTTTGTTTAAGAGCGATTTCAATGGTTTGCAAAACTTTTTGACAAGTAACAATGCAAAAAGAATATTGATCATCACTACTGTTAAATGATAATTAATTCAAAAACACTTCAAAAGTAAATAGGACAAAATACAGATTTATAAAAACAAACAAAGCAAAATCTGCCTAAAATTCATTTTAGTTTGTTTTTGATTAAAGCCCTATTTTTCATAAGAAGTGTTATGGAACAAATTCTGAAGCACTCTTATTTTATTATTAAGATTACTTTTTTTTTTAACATTCAATTTAGATCTTTCCTAAGTTAAAACTTATTCTTAAATTACTAATTTAAAAAACAAATAAATAAATTCAAAGAAGAAAAATGTGTGACAAGAAGAGCATAAGATAAATTATCGACATTGAGTTTAATAAAACACAGTATTTTTTGTTATTGAATCAAATTTAACAAATTAAAATCCTGAATAACAATATCCCAGGTCCACTGTTCCGATCGCCGGAACCGTTTGTTTCCTTTGTTTTTCGGCAGCGGATCCTATAGATTCCGTTGGTTTTCGGTCGGCTACGTTGACTTCCGACGATTTCTTGACTACAGGACTCTGATCCAGTTTCCGCCGGAAAAATTCCGTTAAGTTCCGCAAAATTTCGACCAGGAATTCGTCGGAAATCGACGGAACCGATGGAAACTAATCGGAACTGGTCCGACGAAATCTGGATCGGAATCCTTTAGTAAAGAAATCGTCGAAATTCAACAGAACCGATCGGTTCCGACGTACCGAGCTTGACCTGGGTAGTTTCAACTCATATCATTATCACAATAAAATTTTTTAAATCCAATCGTCTTCAACTCTCACTTATCATTATTTTCTCAATAAAACACAACTAAAAAAAGATCTGAAATTAGATTTTTCGATTTAAAATTGATGAAAAAATAATAATCTCTACATTTATTGTTTAAAAACGATACAATAATATGTAAATGCGAGACTACTTTATCTTGCAAGACAACATTTAAAAATCGTCATCCCCTTGCTATAATCTTGGATATACCAATCTGTGAATCAAATCATTCATTAAAATCTTTTTCGTGATTTATATATATATACATAGAAAGCAGTGGCGTACGCAGAGGGAGTCGAGGGGGTCCGCCCCCTCCCCCCTTGAGACGAAAAAGTCCTGGAGGGGGGTACAGAGAAAAATATTTTCGCGTGATAAAAATTTTTTTGCGTCATGGCGGCCCCCTGCGAAGTTGGGCCCCCTCCTTAAAAAATTTCTGCGTACACCAATGATAGAAAGATATTTCATCAATTACTGACATAATTAGTTCAACATGTCACTTCAAGTTTATATCACATTGAATTCAATTTTTGTTTATTAATATACAAATCTAATATTTAGCATGAATCTAAGTAGCTATCAGTATTGCATCCCAATTCTATGAAATTTATTTATTTTGAATCTGTACTAATAATAACGTCAGAAAAAAAAATAAAGAATATTTTCTTATGTAATATTTCTCACCCATACTGTGTGTGTGTGTATTCACACCTTGTCAATCATTTTAATGTTGTTCACTTCTTTTCTAACAAAAGTAACTCAATCGTTGTCTCTTATAATTGAGTGCTAATGCATAGATATATTTAATAAAGAGAGAGAAAAACACACACATAGGTACATTCGTTCAGGTAAATTGACAACGAACAGAATATGTAAGATAGTGATCGTTTCTTTTTTCTTCATCAATCGACTTGATTGGTATGTATAGATGAGTCCTGCTGTGTGTGATAGAAACAAAAAAGAAAAAAAAAAAAAGATTATTATTATTGAGTTAGACATTAAAAAGAAAAAAATCTAATAACATATTTATTTAAGCATATGTTTCAGTAACGGTAGAACTGTCTGATTTTAAATATGAATTATGAATATCGTCATTTCTATATAAATAAAATTTTTTTCGTTTAATTAAACATGGTTCATCAGGTGCTAAAAGACTATCAACATTGAAACAACGTTTTCGTTGATTTTCTTTTATTGGATTTTGTTTTAAATTAATTGATTGTATTGAAGATAGATGTTGTTCACAGTTATTAGATATGGCAATAGGTTGTATATCATTAAAATAATTTTCTAGAAGATTAGGTTGAATAATTCTAGCTTTTTTTTGTGATGAAATTGATAAATTTGTTATATTAGAATTAAAATCTTCTACTGGAATTTTTGATAATGAACTAGAATAAAACAAAAAAGAAGCAGAAAAAATTTTTGAAGAAAAAAAAAAAACTTGTTTTCTTTTTTTAATTAAACTTACTTTTGAAAATGACGTTCAGTTTCATTTATTGGTAAAATTTCATCGTCATCACCATCATCATCTTCTTCTTCTTCTTCAGGTACAATTAATCCCATACTTTTTCTAACACGTCGTTGTGCTCGACGTCGTCGAAAATCTCCACTAATAAAATCAGCTAAATTTGCTGGATGAATACTCCAATAATGACCTTTACCATTAGCTGATCGACCAGTTTTAATAAAACAATCATTTAATGAAAGATTATGTCGAATTGAATTACGCCAACCTGGACCTCGTGCACGAAAATATGGATAACGATCTAATATCCATTGATAAATATCCGCTAGAACAAGTCGTCGTTCTGGTGTACTTAATATTGCCATAGCAATAAGTCCAATATATGAATATGATGGTTTAGGTTCTTCACAAAATCGAGGATCATATCGTTGATGAAAATTATATAAAGAATATGGATTAGATGATAATGAACTATCAAAATGAAGACGTACAGCATAATCATAAAGTTGTTGATGAGCTGCAAATAACATTGGATAATTTGAAATATTATCTATTGATTCTTTCTGCATGAAAGATTTATTTTATGTATATATAAATATATCAAACAAGTTGATTGGTAAAAAAAAAAAAAAAAAAGAAGAAAGAACTATTTGTTCTGTTTCTCTTATGAGCGATAGAAAGAGAACGAGAAAAATACAAAATATTTGTATGTCGTTTGCTTTACAAAAAAATAAACAGCATACATATATCTATCGGGCAATGTTAAATTCTTATCTGATTAACAAAATGGAAAAAAAAAAAAAAAACGTTTTTGATTGGTTAAAAGAATATTATTCTCATTGGATGAAAAATAGAAAACGAAAATAAATATTAATAATTTATCCAATTAACTATTAACATTTGCTTAAAAAGATTTATTATGTCACGAACAAAATGACCTTGAAATCATGAAAAATTTTAGTAAAAACTTTTTCAATCAATCTCTTGAATCATTTGTTCTCGTGACCTTGAAAACATTCGTTTATTCTCTATAGTTAATCGATGTTAAATATTTTGTCATTTCATAAAATAATAAACTATTTCACTTTTCTCTTTATTTTAATTGTCATTAACGATCTCTTATTATATGGTTGAATGATTTTTTTACGTCATGGGTACTCTCTTTTTCTTTCTCGTTTACTATATTAAATGCTTTTTTTTTGTACATATCTTTTGATTCATCAAAAGTCTAATCAAATTTGTCACTTGATAAATGTATGCCTTAAGTCTTCTACCTCTTTCTCTTAACGAGATATAAAAAAAGAAATCTATTGTGTAAAACATTTCTATCGAATACAGTTGACTGTTAATGATTTTTTTTTTTTTTTATCATATAACGATTTTATATTTCAATGTAAGAAAAAGAAAAAAAAACTGATGATGTTTATCAATCGATGTAAAATGAAAGAAGTAGAAGCAGAAAAAAAAAAAGAAGATATGTCATCATGTATTTTTCTTCGAATCAAACTATTAATAATATTATGATGACCTTTATTATTACTATTAACAAATAAATATATTCATTCTTTTCTAATAAAATAATATTATGCATCTTATTTCGGACTCGTTAATAGAGAGTACATTCATAGAACAAAAAGCATGTTGAATCAAATCAATTTAATAAAGAAAAAAAAGCATCGAAGTAGGACGATGAGAAAAAAAAAAGACGAACAAAATAGTTGATGATCTCTATGCATAAGAGAATGTTAGACTGATTAAATTAAATATAAAAAGTTGCCGAATGTTAAGATGAATACTTGAACATATAAAATAAGATTCTTCTTGAAGTCTTTTAAAAAAAAAAAATATCAATTGCAATAGAATATTCCGAAATAAGATGAAGTATTCTTGAATTTAAATACAAAAAAAAAAGAGTATTCTACAATTCATTTGTAGTTTTTTTTGAGATTATTAAAACAAATACGATTCAATCATATTGTCTAACATTAGAAAATGAACACTTTATATCTGTCCGAATGCTGATGTGTCTCGCACTTGCTTTATATTTTAGAAATGAGGTGTGATCAATTTCTATCGTATATTGTCAATGACTACTATCACATCTGTTTAAAAATTTTGATGAATATATTAGTTCATTTTTGTTTCAACATGCTTAATTCGAGTACATTTCACCTAGTTACAAATGATCAAAAATTCTTTTCTTCTACTAATGACTACAACAAAAAAAGAAAAAAACTCTAATGAATTGACTCTTTAAATTCAAGAATGTACAATATGACAAGAAACACTTACACATTGAATGTCGTGTTTTTTTTTTTTCTATTTTGTCATTTGATGAAGTGTTTGATTAATTTTGATTGTCAAGGATTTATTTCTATATAGATTTCGATGAACGATGATGATAATTTGCTATCGTCACACGAAATGATTAGACCTACTGCTATTAATTCATTCATAAGCAGGTGTAAATGGTGTCATCAACGGGAAATGATTTCTTGCTGTGCTTTTTTCGATGATGACTACGACTATAGTATATCAATTTGCTTCATTATATTTTATTTCATTAACAGTATAGAATGCACTCCTGAAGAGAAATAAAGTATCAAAATTTGAACATAGATGAATAACAATAGTGTACCTTTTTTTTTTAAATAAAAAGAAAAACTATCACGTATATTACAATATATACCTAATAATGAAAGGAAGTGTTTCTGATCATGTGGGATTTAAAAATACTTGTAACAACTTAATCGATGAATAGAGCAAGTAGATTAATTTATCATTTGTTATTACATAGTTAATTAAATATAGCAGAAAACTACTCTTTGGAAATAATACGACATTCATTACTTTAGTTAATTCATGAATTTTTTTATTTTAAGAAACATCAATAAGTACAATTGAATAAAATAACAACTTTTTTTGCACAAACAAAAAAAAATGAGTAACTATATGGAATAACTTTTGTTAACATATATAAGGAAAATTTCGTTTCGATAATAAACGGATTACATAAGAAAAAAAAAATAATGTTTGATATAAAATATTTTCGTCGCTTTACACAATGCCGATCGAGTTCACTTATCATAGTTTTAACAATTTTGATCAACTAATAATTTTTCTCTTTCAATCTATTAAAATTTTATCCGCATAGTCATTAGAATGACTGCCATCAGCAAAACAATCGATGATGAAATATTATAAAATTTGACGATTGTAATAGAAATGAACATAAGTAGACATCGGATCGAAACTACGGACCTACATCAGGCTACAAAATTAGAAATCGTAGAAATTGAAACCGACGTTGAAAAAGAATCACTTCACAAATTATTTATATCAGCATTAAATAGCCAAAACATTTGATTTATATATTAAAATATAATACAGTCAGAGAAACTTTGCACTCATCCATTATGTATTCACAATTATCATTCGATATAAACATTTGCAATCGTATTTTTTCGGCGGAACAAAATTAGCAATATAGGAATGTTGTATATGATGAATTCATTTTAAAATAATAAGGTAAAAAACAAAGTTTTTTAGTCATTTCTCTGATATTTATCTCTATCATACTACACAGATTTTCATGATATCTGCACTGTAGGTACGCTACATCTGACTTCTACATTACATTATAAGATGGTGAGACAAATCTATCATTGACTGCTCATGCATTTGATATTATATTTCAACATAAACGCTTAGACAACGAAATGTTTTCTATAAGAAAACTGTTGCAACAAATGGAAAACTACAAAAAAAAGAACGCAGTAGAGTGAATTGTCGAATATGTAACGTTTTTTTTTAAAATTTCCTCTAATTTTATATACTTTAATATTCTTAAAATGTTCTAATAAGAAAACGTATCAATAAAACTAAGCAAGAATTCGTTTTTCAGTTAGACGTAAAGTCACGCAGGGATTTTCATTAATTGGAAAATAAATTCTAAGTTTTGCTTGCATTAAGCAAATATATCACAAGTTCACTGTAATGGAACAAAGTATGCATTAATAACTTCTATATCGACATCGGAGAATGATTTTCAATACTAATTTTGTGAATAAGTGCATCAAGATTTGAAATTTTTATAGTTTTGAATTTCGAAAGAAGATAATTATTATATACTTGACATATCATTTATGAACTAACGAGGGAGCATTCCCAACTGTCACATCGCTTTTGAGTCGAGCGTATGCGCATTATGTAGGCCTTAATGATCTATGAATACTCTGAAAAAAGTTCGTGCTGTTAGCTTATTACTACCGAGATATTGCATTTTTACTGTACGTTTAAGCAGAAAGCCGTGGTCCCCCTCAGGAACACTTGGAAAACTGAGTTTTGAATTTCAACTTGAAACTTTGCATAGAGATAGATCTCAATGAGAATAGTTTATTGTGAAAGTTTCAGATCTTTTGATTGCTCCTAGTCTGAAATAAGAATATCAAAATCTGCTGGTGTATATCAGCGATTTTACCATAGCTGTATCCTAGGATAGGCACAACGAAAAGATTTGAAACGTTCACAATAAACTATTCTCATTGAGATCTATCTCTATGCCAAGTTTCAAGTCGAAGTTCGAAACTCAGTTTTCCTAGTGTTCCTGAGGGGGACCACAGCTTTCTGCTTAAACATACAGTAAAAATGCAATATCTCGGTAGTAATAAGTTAGCAGCACGAACTTTTTTCAGAATATTTATAGATCATCAGAGCCTACATGATACGCATACGCTCGACTCAAAAGCAATGTGACAGTTGGGAATGTTCTCTCGTAAGTCAAATTTAATGAGAAATACAAACGGATAAGAAAATTCTATTCAACAAATTTAAAAATTCTTTCGTTTTTTTTTCTTGGCCAACGATAAATAACACAAACTAGTTTTCAATTAAGGCCGATCGCGACCTCTAACAACTTCCTACTTCAAATAAGGTTGCTTATAACTTAATATAAGATCAATTCTTTATTTACATGTTTTTCATTTTTTAAAATCTATTCTATATCGTATTTAATCGCGATAACAATCGTTCAAATCTTTGAAGAATATAATTTTTTTCATTTAGTAATAGTAAAAAGTTATCACAATAGAAAAATTTAAAAGAATTAAATCTATTAATTATTTTAACAACATAAATTAATTGTAAATTTTAATGAGTATACAAAATTTTTCAACTATAGAAATTCATGAAATATATGATCGATGTTGTGAATAATAATTGCATATAAACGAATTCAATTATTTATATGTATAAAAAAAAGTATTGTTGATTACCAACAGTATAAATTAATTAATAGAATATTAAAATTAACTTATTTGTTTTTTCCTTAAGATCTTCAATATTATAATAAAAACTTCTTGACTAAATTGCACAAAATATATAACTTAGTACAAAAGAAGACAACAAAGTCATTGTAAACTACAAATTGATGTACGTGTAGTACTTGATATGGGTTTAATAGGTGCTGAATTTTGTGGTTCTTGTCGTATAATTGTTGCTGTTATAATACCTCTTGCATCCGTATCAGTTTTTGGTAGAACAACATGCATTAAATTAGCTGTTACTTGACGAAATAAATTTTCAATTGATTCACCAGTTTTAGCCGAAACAAAAAATGGTAACATATCATGATCTTTAGCAAATTGATGATGTTTTTCTGCTTTAACAGCACGTAAATGTTCAAGATCACCTAAAAATCTTTATTTATAATATAAAATTTCTTTTTCAATATTTTCTTTATATGAGCAATATCATTTAGTAGTAACATGATACAAAAACAAAAGGATTGTCGACTTTTACTTCATACATCTAACAGAGGGGGGGGGGAGAGAGATCTCCAAGTGATAAATCGCTTTCAAGCTGAGACTATATTCAATTGATAGAACCTAGTGAGTAGGTAAATATTCAGTGTTTTATCCAGACGGGTGTCCGGGGGGCCGCGCCCCCCCTGAAAATCGAGTTCGCCCCCCCGAAACTTGCGATGATCGTACTAAAAACACGTGGCTTGCTCTCCCGAAAATAATTTTTCGCCCCCCCCGAAATTCCAAATCGCCCCTCCGGAGAAAAAATCCTGGATAAAACACTGTAAATATTCTAGAGTGGTTCGAACTGTTGAACATTTATTTCTGGATATATCAAATTTTTAGTAGATTTTTTCTGTAGAATTCAAGGAAAATCATATATTTTTGAATTTTCAACTGTAACTCTTTGCTTATAACAAGTACTTCAATTAAACTAGCTTATAGAAAAACAAAAAATGTTTACAATTCTTTGCTAAACTTTCATAGAAAAACTCTTATAAAGAATCAAAAGATAAAGAAAAGATGTCTTGATTTATTTAAAATGATTCATATAATGAATATTTAATTAAATAGTCTATAGAAAATTATCTCTCAAATTTTCCATACTAAAATCAAAAAATAAAGAATTTCCTGTCGACACAGCAAGTCTTTTTTTCTCAATTAACTCTTTAGTAATTATAAAATACTATAGACATTTACTCTTCTTAAACCCCCGAAAATCGAGTTCGCCCTCTCGAGACTTGTGATAATCGTGCTACGAATACATGGCTTGCCCCCCCCCCCCCCGAAAATAATTTTTCGCCCCCTAGGAAATTCAAATCGTCCCTCCGGAGAAAAAATCCTGGAGTTCTTCATTTACTCACTTTTATTCCCAACAAGTGCAAATAATGGTTTTCGACCAGCACAATATTTCATTACTGTAGAATACCAATCTTCAAGATTTTCAAAACTTTGTAAATTTGTTATATCATAAACAAGTAAAACAATCTAAAAAGAATAAACAAATTTTTATACATTATAATACAATTTTTTTTCTTGTAATTTACATCTGCTCCATATATATATTTATCTAGCATAGCACCACCTAATGTTTGACCACCAACATCATTTACAGCTAATGTAACATTATATGAATCTAAATAGAAATAAAAAAAAAATATAATTGTTGTTATTTATTTTTATTTTAAATCAATTTTACGTGTTAAATTAATTCGTTTTAAATAATAATCAATTCCTAATGTTTGATTATAATCACGATTGAATGCATCCTTAGAAAATCTTTCAGAAATTGATGTCTACAATAATAATACAATTTGTTATATAAATAAAAAAAAAAAAAGAAAGTATATTCTTTTACTTTGCCTGAGCTACCATCACCAAGAATTACAATTTTAACTTGTTTTTCATTAGCATCATCTTCTGAATCCGACATTTCTTTTTTTTTTAAAATCACAGATTTTTCTTTTCAAAATTTATTATAATAGACATAAGTGAGCTATTACCTTGACATCAAACCTCATTTTTATGTAGGCGACATCTTTTAAGGTTTCTATGAAATATTTATTGTTCATCTAGGTGTATGTAAATTCTTTTTTCTTTAAAATTCAATTGTATGATGTTAGTTTATAATATATCCTATTCTGATTGTGATCATCATTTTTCAAACAATGCATATTGTTCGTTTGCTTCGTTTACTCTTCCTGTTATTTTGATTGAAGTACCTTATTTCCTTTTATTTCATGTTACTTTCTTTTAGTTAACAAATTTTCTTATTATAATGTTGTAATGAACGAAAAAATGTATTAAGAAAACTATGAAGACATATATAAATTTTAATATATTTTCAGTTATAAAAAAAAACCTATTATCTATTTTCGTTTTTTAGAATTTTATTTGTTTAATTGTAAGAATCATTTAGTTAAATAGTTATGAAAACAAATTCAAATGAACATGTTATATAATACTACGATTTTGTTGAATTGAAATTTTTTATTTTTTTTATTTTATTGTAATTTTCGTGCACATTAATATCAATTTTATTTATTAACACGAAGACAAAATGAATAATAGATGATTGTTTTCAAATCTCTTGAGATATAATTGTCATTATGTAGTGTATATTACATATTCTTTCTTATATTTACATACAACTTAAATAGTTCATCGATGACTTACATATGACAAGAAGAACAAGTATAAATAGTTTTATCTCTAAGTTTATTAATCGTTTTCATATTCATGAATAATAAATATACTATCTAGAATTTAATAGTCATTATATATAATAGATGATTTAATAATTAGACCAAAAAACAAAAAAAGATCGATCTCTCTAAATGTTTATCTATGGATATTTAATAGGTAATTATGAAGTAAATAATAATCTCGTTTATTTATTCATATCATCTTATTAAAGAAATTCGATGTAGATGTATATATACAGATACCCTCTGTAATAACATAAGAACTCTTATGCCATATATCTAATGCCATCAAAATAACGACGACAAATCAATTATGCTTATTCTTTTTTTTTTTCGAAAATCATGTTATTTGCTTTGTGTTATATTCGGTCGCCGTTTTTATACTTCCTGTATGCCAATAACCATTTTGTGAAAAGAGAAAAAAAAATAGAAGAATGATGAAGACGAGAAATAATACGAATAGAAAGCAAAACTAATGATCGATGTCGTGTGATAAGATACTACATATATAAATCTATCTATAATTGTGTATGTTAAAAATGTCTCATATCTATTAGTAAAAAAAATACAGAAACTATTCACTAAATTATCCATTAATCGAATTGTCCATCTGTTTCTTACCTCCTACTAGTTAAGTGAAAAAAGACTAAAAAACATAATAATAATATAGAATAACATGGTAGGTATAGATTTCTCTGTTTTTCATATAGATGTATTTTTCTTTTTATATTTTCATATTTGTACAAAACAAAAAAAAAAAAAAAAAAGAAAACCTAAATTAACAGATACATAATATTGTTTTTAATGGAAAAGAATGATGAGTTTGACATTTTTATGAATTATTTATCGTTTTATTCGTATCGACAACCGTGAATGTGTGAGTATAATAACAAGAAAGAAGAATCGACTTCTACTAGTACAGTCAACTCAGATTAACAAAGAGAAGAAAAAAGAAAACAAGAACTTTGAAAAGAATAGACTATTATGATTATTATTATCATTTCGCATTCGAACTTCCAGTTGAGAGAACATCATGCATATATATATACAAAGATATAGATAGATAGATCTGGTTTTTATACAAACAAGATTATGGAGATGAATCGTCCTTTTTTACGTATCGATATAAATATATATTACAAAAAACACGAGAACGAAACGAGATATTTTATGTCATATTATTAGACGATCACAACTATTTACAAAGTAATGGAAAAAAACAAAAATATGTTTGCAAATCTATTCATTCTACGAACAAAAGAAAGAGTATTCTTAACGCTCTTTAATTACTAAAATATTTTTCCGGGATCTTGAGAATGTCGATACAATCTGCTTCATATTCTTTTTTTTTTTGAATTGTAAATCAAAGTTAAAAGTATTAATCTGAAAATCAAAAGGTCTGTTCTGATTTCTTTTGGTATATTTAGAATATGCGTCTTCTTATTTTTTTGTTTTATTTTTGTCATGGATGGTGATCAATAGGAAGTCTATTCAAAACAGACTTCTAATTGATAATAATAAGTTTTTTATGAGCACGTACACACATATGCACCCCATAGTGATCACGTTTCTATAACTGTGCAAAATGAATTTTTTAACGATTTATTTTTTTTCTTTTTTTCAATATAAAAGGTAGTTCTCATATGAATATTTATTTTATTCTTATGATGCATTACTGATTCGATAGATAAACTTATAAATTAAATTTAATACTTTTCTGGAAATTGGATCTATTGTAAGTCAAATTTCCATACTAGAATTACATTCTTTTTTTTTCTTTCTTAATATGACGGATACACATCTCAATGAATTTCATTAGATTCAGGAACTGTAAAAACCGGCAAAAAAATTAACGGATATTACACGTTAGGTTTATACTGTATTTATTTGTATATTTTCACTTTACTTTTCTTCATAAATAAATCTATCATTATGTTTTTGACATGTGAATCTTTCTTCAAAATTTTTTTTTTTGTTTGATCCTATGAAACCTTTTTTCTTCTTATTATTTAGATTGCATATAAACATCAAACAATATTACTAGAATTGCATTAGCCTTTTTTTGTTCTATTTCTCTAATTCTCATGTGATCCCAGCATCAACACTAAACGGCAACAAAAAAAAAAGCAATCAGTAAGTTTTATTTATATTATGTTGCTCTCTCGTTTCACATGTCTTGATTATAATAAACAATTGTTTCCGCGGTCAACATAAATCAAACAATACACACAATTAATCGTATTATGAATAAAAAAAAAAAGGTTCTATGTTTGAATGCATGCAATTACTTAAAGAAAAGAAAAAAGAAAAATATATATATATGTTTTTTTATTAGCTTTAATGATACTTTAAAATCAACATGATCATGTCTATTTGTCAGCTAAATATTAAAGAAAAAAGATTGATGAATTTTTTTATGTATATTATATTTTTATTAGAAATAATCTTTTTTGAAAGTCTTTAGAAATGTCTTTTGTTTTTTAAATATGTTATAATAATGAAAGAAAATCTTATTTAAGTCCATTTAATGTACTTTATAAGATATTATTATCAATTTTTAATAGAATATAATACTAAGAATGTGAATTATATTTAAAAACAAAAAAAAAAAAAAATTTCAATAATTGAGAATAATTTTTTTTTTTTTATAATTTAATTATAGACGAAAAGTATTGAAATGGATTCGTCGATATTTTTTTGCTAGAGTATTTCGACTCATTCAAGACGATAAGATTATTGTGTCTCCAATTCTTTTTTTTTTTCTATTTGATCCATTTGAGTACTAATAGAAGAGTGAGATAAGCAAACTATTAATTTTCTCTAGTGGTATACACATGAGGACGATTGAAAAAGAGTTGCAAGTTCTGTTGACATAGTGTAAACAATAGCAAGTAGAATGATGACATGCGTCTATATTCTTTTATACCCAAAAAAAAAAAATAAGATAGAGGAAAAGCAAAAATTTGTGAATTGATAGAACAAAAGAAATGCAATCAATGAAGTTACTATCGTTAGCATCTATTTATTATATTCAATTTATTACTTATTCTTTTTCTTTGACTATTTCTATCTTAATTTTTTACTCTCGACATTATCGATATTTTATATAAATTTGTCTATAGTTAGATGTTATTTAGCGTAAGTAATTTAGTTTTTATTCATATATAATTTGTTCAAGAGAGGAAATATTAAAGATTTATTGATGCATACATTTATATAAGATTCTCAGACAAACATCAGGTGATAATAGCAAAATAGAATGAATAATATGTTCTATATTAAATTAAGATGCTTTTTTTTATGAAATAAGTGTTCTTTTATTTCCTCTTCAATGAGCACTTTTAGATCAAATATATTGCATGTAGATGAGTTGTGTTTTTTAAACTAGAAAGAACATTCTTTATTACGATTCTTTTTTTTTTTTTCTTCTTCTTCTTCGTTTCGATCTCTTGATAAGTACTTCTATTATTTATTGTGTAAACGAATGTACATATTTAAATAAAAATGAACTAAATCAATTAAAATATCGAGTAATGTTTTCTTATTCCATTTTCTTAATAAATATCCGTTTTTGTTTGAATAAATATTTGTCTTTATCAAGGACGATATACCTACTTAAATATATCAAATAGTAATTTATGTTAAAAAATATTTTTCATTAAACCTATTCGTGTAGAAAATACATATATAAAACGATTCTATTGACTATTTAAACAATTTATTTTTTACATTCCCAAATGTATGTCTCATAGGAAATGCAATAAGAGAAAAGTTACGAAGTTTATTTTTAGTCGATAGATTATTACTTATTTAAATGACATTGATCGATATCGAGTATGCTATGTCATCTAAGTCCATCTCTTCGTCATTTCTATTGATTAGTTGAAAGAGTCGATGATGTGAAACTGAAGAATAGTTGCTAACACAACAGATAGAAAAAAAAAAAAGGAGACCTATAGCAAAAAAAAAGGAAAATGTCAAGGACACATAGATTGTGTGAACTGTCTAGAAATCTTAAAGATTTAACTTAAGTAATGAAATTCATAATCTTAGTCATGAAATCTTATTCAAGTAAATCGACAACCCCATCTTGATTAATAGAAAAAAAAAAGAAAAGATTTATTATCAGTTTTATTGATGCAAGCAATTCAGCTTTTTTTTTTTTTTTCTTCGATTCTTTTTTTGTTTAATTTCATATCGTTCATATTTAATAAAAAGAAATTTTGCT